TCATTAGCAACATATAGTATATGTACACATATATTTTTTAGAACACAATCAGGCTGCAGGTACTGCTGAAACCTCAAGTACTTTAGAAAAATATCTAGTTTGATTCCCACTAAGAATAATGCTAGAAATAAGTATGTATTTTTTATTAGCTTTTGAAATAGGGAGAATGCTTTCGTTTAAATTCTAAGATATACTTGTAACAATAATCGATTGAATATTATATGCCGACAAAAAATCAATAGGGGAATTTAAAACATGATATTTCACATGAACAATTAGTTTTGTGTTAATTTTCTGTAAGTACCGACAGATTGTGTAAACTTAATTAAATTCTTTCAGACCGTGTGTATATAAAAGGTCCATAAAAAAAGAACTTTAGCACAAAAGCTTTTTAAAGATTCTAAACTAACCATTCGTATTTATTTGTAAAATAATGCTATTGACATCGAATTCTTTTGTAGGTTTTACGAGTAAAGATTTTTCGTAGTATAAAGTTACGTAAACTATTGGCTACAACGTAGTCATTGACAGGGCCTATGTAGAAAAACAGCAAAATTGTGGGACTTGCGTAGTCTTCAATTAACAGCACTTTTTAATTAAACGTCAAACCCAAATTTCGCTTTGTCTAATAAGATATAAATCTACTACTAAAAATTGTGCCTATAGGAAGATAATAAATGTACATTAGTCTCGGCCAATAGCTGCTTGCAATTTGTGAACAAGGTCACCTAGGTTATTGTACGGTAAGTACAAGTGCACTCAAATAACGAGGCGCGGTAAAACGGGACTACTAACAAGAAATAGAAACATGGGCGTATTTCCCACGGTCCATGGATAAAGTAGATAAACAATCTGAATAATTCGAAAGTCGATATTTATTGCTTTTATTGTTAATTAAATATTTAAATTGAATCTTATCTTAAAAACAACTGTCCAGCAATTATTAAATGCGTGTGAGATACATGTCACTACTCGATGGATGTGCGAATGGCATTGCAATAAGTTTAGTAATGACACGGCAGTAGGCGGGCGGGCGGGCGGCGTGGCGGGGCTCGGCTCAGCGCTCAGCCCGTTCTATTTCTAAATTGAGACAGTCACTCGCTGCCGCTTTCCGTGTATCACCTCTTCGCTATATATAACTAAAATACGTTAAATCTCAAAAAAATACTTCGCTAGTTACTCACGGAACCAATCAACTCGCGAATAATACCAAAATATTCAAAATACTAATCCGCACATATCTCAAAATGGTGCAACTGGACCTTGACTTTTTAGTAAAGCATGCTAAAAATTTGTGAACCGTGATTTGTTAGTGTAGGGTTATATAAAACTGTGTAACTTATAAAAATGTGGTACCAAGGCGAGGAAGAAGATGAAGAAGATCTTATGTGCTCCCCGGCGATCCTCGCCAGGCGAGCGTCAGAGAGTTGGATTAACGTACCTCCCGTCGAGGTAAACGTTCACGTTTTCCACAAGATGGTGTATTTTATACTGTAAATGTACATCAAACAATGCTAAATTTTCTTTAAAGCCGTGACATAACGATGTACAGAGTCACACATATGCACATGTACAGCTACAAAGTGTCTAGGGACGGCGGGTAAAGGTCAGAAGATGTGATATGTGTCTACGTTTAAAACTATGTAAAGATGCTAAATAATTCAAATACTTTCTGTTAGTCGTTATTAAGAGATCCGGGGATTTTTTTAGTACCGTAAAAAATAAATCAACATGTTTTTCCAAGCGCCCGTCGCGTTGGATCCGGCTCTAATGCAAATCTAAACAAACATTCATTTTGCTCGTCCGCTCTCCAGATTCTTACCTAAAATATTATATCGCAAATTTGTCTATAAATTAGAACTCCGTGAGCCTGTGTTTTGTAAAGATGGTAGTTGAAATAGATCATTACATGAACTAGTGATATTAAATCACTGATTGGAATACACCTTTTTAAGAATATGCATTGGCTATTGGCTATGTCGTTCCTTAATGAGTTGCTAGATATTTAAATCAATTAGCAATGAATAAGACAACATTTTTCAGAAACACTACAATACAAAAACATGTAAGACATAAATTAATTTATGAATGTTCTGTCTAGATGCTGAGCACGCCACAGACACTTCAGCGCAAGAAATCGTTGCCGGACGTCGCTGGGATGCCTCGCATGCCTGACGGTGGCGGCATGTCCCGTGAAGAGGTCTCGGCTCTCGGCTCGGCACGTCGTGAGGAGGTGCGCCGCATGCACGAGGAGACCGAGAAACTGAGGGCCAACCCTCTGCTCTACTTAGTTAGTCCGCAAGTCAAGGTTAGACACTCACTAACTCTAATAATCATTACCTTATCTATATTGTACTGAAACAAGTTTTCCTTTGCTACGAACTTGCTACGAAATTGCTACGACGCTGTTTAGTTGACAAAGCACAATATGTGCAAGCGAATTAATTTAAACTATGCGATTATTGACACAAATCTTTTGTTTTGTTCGAAGGACTGGTTCTCCCGGCAACAGCTGGTGATCCTTGTGCTGTTCATCAACATTTCGCTGGGCATCATGTTCTTCAAGCTGCTCACGTAGCATCGGCGTGTGGCGCATGCGCGCCTTTTCTTCACAATGCCGTTAACGACATTTTTGTAAATATTTGTAATTTTTGAACCAGAAATTGTCCAAATATTATTTAATGTGCGACAAATGTTTAAATAACATTAATTCTTTATTCCTTATACATACGAGAGTTACATTTACACATCCAATGAAAACGTATTTATTTGTCAATAAGGACTTCAATTTGCTAGTGTACTTTTCTTTGACGTTGTGAAAGTGTGCAAAGAATGACGATACAAGAGTGAAAACATTATCCAAATATTTCGTCGAGCTAATAATTTCGACTTGTTTTGTGCGGGAGTGAATTGAACCTGTTTTGTGTCCGGTAATCGGAAACTTCGAATGTAAGGAGCACGTTGTTCTATAAACCTGCATATTGTAGGTTTATTTATGCCTTCTATTATGAAGCTTAACGCCTTTAATGTAATTTTAACAGCTGAGGTGTTGTTGAAAGAGTTTTCGATGAATTCGTGGTCGCTTTGTATAAGTGGGAGGTAAATAGGTAATCAGAATGGCGACGACACCTGCGAGGAAGTCGTTTCCTCCGCCACACTGACACTGCACTCACAATGTTCTGTAACCGTCGTCGAGCCACCACCTGTAATGCAGCATCCTACATTGATCATATTGTACTCAGAGATTGACCGAATTAGGTACCAGAAAACTTTTCCGCCATTAATGAAGTCGGTTGTGGGGACGTTATTATTATTATTAATAAATGTTATTGTTGCTAAATCAAAGTTTAAATAATTCATAAATTATATTTGTCAATTTTTAATAGTTCGTGCTGATTATTAAGATATTGAAATACTACGTACCCCGAGTGATAATAAAGGCACAAATATGTTAGATATAGGTATCTACTTGTTTCGAAAGTGTATATAAGTAATAATGATATTAATTAGAAGTTTTACAAATATTACACGAAGTACGCATACCTGTAAGTAGATACGTTGTTATGCTTGCAATATGTACAAGTCAAAAAATTAAATGCATGTGCATTATTTTCCTATTCTATTAAAATTGTAAAAAAAATCTAGCGATGAATACTGAATTTTTATACAAGATTTAATCTTCATTTTATACCTATGAAGTCAATTCTCTCGTAATCGAATTGTTTATATAGTGAAAGGATACTATATAAATGGTATGTTAGATACTTATTAATATTGGCATGGAAAGCGTGCGATTGAGACTGTTGATACGTACTATATACACCTACAACGAAACTTATTCAAAGCGCACATTCGTTGTAAGGTATATATATATATATACAGTTGGTAAGACAATTTTCACAGTTTCATTATTATGTAAAGAATATAAGTTATGTCTCTAAGAATTTTAATTACTTGTATCGATTTTATCTACGTTTCAGAAATAAAATATTTTAACAAAACCATCATTGATATTTATTTGATAATTTTATTTTTTCAGTTCATAGTATCGTAAGTATTAAATGGTCCCAATAAGTAATGCTATCAGCTGCTACAGTACCAATCAAATCAGCCGATTTATGTATAAGAATTTTATATGAATTCTATTTGAAATGAAACCTGGCCAATTTTACTTAGTATTTATCCTCGTCAGAGTGAATTAATATTACCCACACATATTCAAAGGCGATATAAATATTTATCTAGTAGACATTAGACAAAACGTTAATAATAAAAAAAACGAAATTTATAAAAAAAACTCAATGGAAGGATGAATTAAAATCTCGCCTCTATATAACTATTTATACTCGCATCCCCAGTGTTGCAAGTACGGTAAGGTTCTGTAACCGACATGAGGTCTTTGATCCTACCTGCCAAGTGAGAATTTGCTTTACAATAACGCAATCGAAACATTACTGCGTCTAGCCCTCTGATTGGCTGTCTAACTTGAAGCAGACCAATGAGCGATTGAACGTCATAAACGTGTCGATCGCCTTTATACAAAGGAAACACGTACTATGCACTCAGATCGTAGCTAAAGTTGACTAGACTAATGAAGAAACTAAATTGAAAATCGTAGGCTTGATTGGTCTCCACCCCTCTTTCTGTCACCATACACAAAATAATACCACAAATACACAGTATGCGTAGACATAGCACACAGTTGTTAGTAGATACGTATATCTACGACACGAAGGTATATTATAATTTAATAAGCAGATCATTACCCTACAAGTAGCCAGGTACCTTTAATTCAGCAAGTAAGCATTTAGCTTCGCCCCACTATAAACCTGATAGAACATCACTATCGCATGCGTAGATAAGTTCCTATTAATTAAATTAATACTTTATGGCTTCTTTCCCCAACACAAAAGTCTCAAACTAAAACGTTGAACGTCAATAACAGACATTTTTACGTGTTATTTACGTTAAAATATTATATGTTGTGAGTACTGAATGTGATGACGAAAAATGGCAGTAACACCACTACATATGGCACCGAGGACAAGTTATCGGTATGTATGTTGTTAAACATTTATCTAGTTTATTAAATAACGTGATTCAGCTGAACTTTCACCTCCCTAAATTCAATGCTGATTAATTTAAAACCATAGATATAATAGCAATAGGCACTAGAACAATATAACATCACATTGTTAACAGAGATTTTAAAAATATTAATTATATTAGCTATCGCGAATGTGAAGATTATCAAATCAATATTCAAAGATTATCTACTAATTTCAAACTTTACACGCCTAACTTTTAATGATGATTTCTAAAGGGCAATGAAGCTAACGAGACACTCGATTTGGATGACTTGCTGCCTAAAATCGGAGAATTTGGCCTGTATCAGAAACTGCTATTATGGCTCGTCTGTCTACCGGCCTGCCTACCATGCGGTTTCTGTGCATTTAATCAGTTGTTCATGACAGACGTCCCCGACTATTGGTGCAGGGTTCCCGAACTGGAACTACTCAACCTAACACAGGAACAGCGCAAGCTGTTGTCGATTCCGCGAAAGGTACTTTATTGATGTGAATGTAGATTTATTTATTGAAACTTTATGCAACATAAAATTACATCGACGGACTTAATGCCATAGACATCTTACAATTCAACCTTCGGGTGAAGCAGAAAGATTATGGTAGGTGAAACAAGAAGAAAACTTGTAGACGATAAATTTATACAACAAAATACTAACTAATAACTTAAATGCATGTATGTGTAATAATATACATTTATTAATAATTTAGAACATATAGTAGCAGACTACTAGGTATATATTCTTGTATTCCATATACCTATACTAGATATATTACATCAATTCATTAAATAAGTACATAACATAAGGGTTCAGATCCGTTACCTAAAATTAATTTATTTACATACGAGGCACTCAAATCAGACTCAAACCCTCATAAAAACGTCATATTATTAATGAAGAAAATATTTTCCAGAATAATTTCACGTTTGAAAAGTGCTTACGGTATGCTATTAATTGGACGGAAATCATTCATACCGGTGGAACTATAGAGGTCAATGAGAGTTGGCCTACCGAACATTGTAGAGAAGGCTATGAATACGACACATCAGAAGTGATTTCATCTGTTGTTATCGATGTAAGTCTCTAAGAAGTAAGATATAACCTTGAAAAACCACTGATATAAGAGATATTATATAGAATACTCGTAGAAAACAAGATAAGAATACCAAACGACCATCGTTTTTAAACGGTTTTATTTAGCTCACCCCGTTTGTTTTTACATATGTGATTTTATAAATTTCTTATGTTTCTTTCAGTTTGATCTAGTCTGCGAATACGATGTCTATCCCACTCTAGGTTTGGTAGCCTTAAATATTGGCGGACCAATAGGAGTGTATGCATTTGGACTTTTGAATGACCGAATAGGACGCAAAAAATCTTTTTTCCTTTGTCTCAGCACACTGCTCCTTGGAAGCCTTATGACTGCATATGCTCATGAATTTTGGTTTTGGATAATGGCTCGAGTTATCGTAGGACTCACTATTCCCGCCGTTTATCAGATACCTTTTATAATCTGTAAGTAAAAATACTGAAAAGAACGATTAACAATTTAAATGTATCAATAAAGTATACTACTAATAATCATTCATTTTCTAATTCGTTACAGCTTTGGAATTAGCAGGCCCTAATTATAGATCCTTTGTCACAGTGATGACGTGTGTATTTTACACACTGGGCTTGATTTTATTATCAGTCGTCACGTATTTGCTCCGAGACTGGAGGAGCCTTGCTTTGGCTACATCAGTGCCTTTCTTTTTCTATTATTTCTATTGGTTCGTTCTGCCTGAATCCCCGCGATGGTTACTTATGAGAGAAAGGCTTGAGGAGGCAAACAATGTATTAAAAACAATTGCAAGAGTCAATGGAAAAGAATTACCCGAAGAATTTACTAACAAACTTCAAAAGCAGGTGATAGAACAAAAGGAAAGGGGGATAACAGAGACAAAATCCGTGAGTGTGTTTGCTCTGTGCCGTACTCCAAATATGAGACTGAAGACATTTCTAATAACCCTAAACTGGTGCGCGTCAGAAATGGTATATGTTGGTCTCAGTTACTACGGTCCGGCTATAGGCGACAACCAATATATGAGCTTTTTCCTGTCGTCAGCCGTCGAAATACCAAGTTATCTTGTCTGCTGGATACTAATGGATCGCATTGGAAGAAGGTGGCCTCTCTGCCTTTCAATGGTTATAAGTGGGATTTTTTGCATCGTTACCGTATTACTACCAAGTGGTAAGCAATTATGGTATATTATCATTAGGTATTTAGGAAATCCTTGTAAATAATGACCTGTATGTAAATGTATAGAATCGATATAATTTTCAGATGCTCGAACGGAAACCTTAATCCTCTATTTAATATCCAAATGTTTTATATCTGCGTCCTTCTTGCTAATATATCCTTATGCTGGTGAATTGTACCCAACGGAATTGAGAGGCGTCGGTATTGGAACTTCGGCATACATTGGCGGCTTGGGTTTGATAATAATACCTTTTATAAACTACTTGGTAAGAAACAATCTAAACATCATTAAAGCTAACTTAAAATATAGGCTTCTATTTTATTTTTAGATAAAAACTCATTTTTATTTCATTAATTATTGTTTTCTACAACCCAGCCGTCACAAAATTAATCATGTATTACGTATAATTAGTTGTTGATTCATAGTAGTTTGTGATCTCGTTCGAAACAACACATTTATTTGTGCACTCTTTGTTATAAACATATTAGTAGAATACATATCAATATTATAGGTAATAGCATACTCATCACATTTGTAATACTTAAGTATGGATAGAAATAAACACAACAATGTAGCTGGTATGTACATATGTTGATATGCCATTATGAAGTACCTACCTACTACCTATTTTGTAACGTTTATATAGATAAAAATGATTATGTAATTGCCTAATAATTAAGTCTGTTTTGTAAAAATTTGCATCTTGTATAAATGAAAAAATCCAAGATTTTTCTGTAGGAAGTCTTACGCATTGATATGAACCCTCTTCGTTTCGGCGATCTTGTACCATTCCCAAGTTGATTGTAGTCGGTACAACATCTCTTCATTTTTCATTGTACTTTATACAAAACCTTAATAGTAGATACCTAATCATAAAATTATTGGTTATCAACCAACTTATTTCTTCTTTCGTTATAGGGTTCAAGTAATTTAGTATTGCCACTAGTTGTGATGGGTGCTGTCTCAGTGGTTGGAGGTTTGAGCGCGCTTCGATTACCTGAAACCTTACATACCTCATTGCCTCAAACGGCAGAAGAAGGAGAAGAATTTGGTAAAGATTGGACTTACGCGGACTGTTTGGCATGTGGAGACCAAAGGTACCTATATCTTACTCCAATGATGTTAGAAGTAAAAAGGTGTAGATAGGTTACAAAAACAACGATCTTCAAAAACGGCATACTAACGCACACGATAATGTATACCTACTTAATATTATAAAGAGGAAAAATTTGGAAGTTTGTAAGTTTGTATGTAGGAGGTAATCTTTGGAACCGCTGGTCGAATTGCCAAAATTCCTTCACTAATATAGCTACAATGTTCCTGAGAGCTATAGGCTATAAACATGTCATACAAACGCTACGATCAAATGGAACCATGCAGCGGAAACCGCATAAGTGTAGCTAGTAAGTAATATGATCAGACGTCAAATTAAGATGGCATGATTTACAATTGATAGAGAAAAATATGAAGATGAAAAAGAAAAGTGTGGGTAATTAGCCACATTTTTATGTGTCAGTTGCTGATCGCTTATCTACACCTCTTTACTTATAATAATATTGTGTTAATCTCTTTACATAATATAATGCAAAATAATATTCTCTTCGGTTCGTATCAGATTTGATTTTGACATTGAAAAAACAACAATAACAACAGTAATATCAGATATCGTTTAGATTTTGAATCGCTTAAAGAGAATATTTGAGAATTTAAAGTTTAAATTTGTGCCTGCATTTTTCAAGAACGAGGTCTGGGGTTCGGTTTCTGGAGGTAGGAACGTAGCTGCGTTTTTTTTTAACCTACCTACTTTTTCTAAGAGAGGAAAATCATCGAATGACTTCTCCCGCACAGGGTCGGGCGGGAGGGAGTGTCAGACTCTAACTGACTAGAAACCCCCCCCCCCCCCCGTTCCTTCTCCTGCTCTGGGCCGAGGCCGCGGTGACTCATTTTGCTTATACCGCGACCCCGGCTGTACCTACTAAGTTTGTTATACCCGGTTGAATCTGATCTAGAATAATGTCCATAACAATAAATTCACCTTGTTTTAACTAAATATTTCCTTCTGGTATCACTGATGTCTGTTATAGATAAGCAATTATTTCTATTTATTTTCAGAAAAATAACTGATGCTGATTCATATGAGAATCTAGATCAGCTAGAACTGACTCAGGCGCCCTTAGTTGAAGACGTGGTGCCAGAAATCCCAGAAATAAGGCGCAGTTCAATGCGGAAACTCGTGAGGCAAGCCAGCATCGTTGAAACACAGCGTGACATCGATGGAAATATAAAAATGACATACTGGTTTTAAATATTATTATAGAAGTATGATAAAAAATAACCACGCCAAAGTTTTTTTTCATTTCTTGCATGTATATTGTTACGTGCCTGACGTCACGTTCCTGACTATGCGGGCTTGGGTTACGGGATTGGATGAAATGAAACACTAATACCGGTTTTCAGACTTTCTATTGCACTTAAGTTACAGCGTCCACGGAGTTAAGTTATCGGCGTTTCTCTCCAGCAGAGTCCGGCCGACTGACACAACTTCGCCGTTCACGCTGACTTAACTCACTTAACTGACTGCACTTCACTATTTCACTGCACTTCACTATTTCACTCACTTTTCTTCTTTTTCACTTCTTCCTTTTCTTCCGAATCGCTTTAGACTTAGAACTCCACTGCCAGCGGTGAGCCGCAGTTCTGCTTATATACCCCCGGTCAGGTTCTGGAACATTCAATTTCGTTATTCTTTTTGATCGTCATGCCTCCAGAACCTTCCAATAATTTCGCTATTCATTTTTATTTATTCTCCTTCTCACTTTTTAATTTTTCATCTCTTTCACACAAATAATTCCAGAAAGTTCGACAAAACTTCCATCAACTAAAAAACTTCATGTTTACGGCGGGACTCGAACTCGGGGTCTCTGTGGTGTAATCCACACGCCTTACCAATTACACCAACTCGTATTGACAATTCACGACGAAATTTACAATCTCTAGGCAACGTTTGACAACCATCCATTGACGTCATGATGTCAAAGAGTTTGAACCACGTTTCCGTCACAATATCAACGTTGTAATTAGTACCTTAATTTATGATACGTACCTAATGGGTATGATTATCAGTATTCGCAATGACCAACGCCAAACCAGGTAAAGTAATTATTGGGTTAATTTAACCAGCCTTCGCCCATCCTGCATTAGCACGATATATCGTACCACATGCATTTTATTGCCCGGATCAACCGACACCTACTGGTGGGTGAATAACAATATGGTATCTACATATCTAGGTACTTAGGTAGATACATACTAGGTTTTGAAACCGCGGCCTCAAGTATGAGAAGCAGGTTTAACGCGTTTAATATTTTCTGATGAATATAGGATATAGGAGGGTAAATAAGTTGGCGGATCGCCTGATGATAAGCAATCGGCGTCGCCCTTTGGCACACGCCATATAAACCAGAGTAGGTAGTCACAAGTGCGTTGTCGACCTTTTGGTGAAAAGTAAGGTAAAGAGGACATGTGTTGTCTCGACTGTCCTCTCTTAAAGCCGGCCTCACAGAGTACATTAATATATGGGTAGCCGGAACTAAGCGGATGCCAGGCGCTTTAGCCACCTGACTTATTTCGTATAAAAAAAATAGGGCTGTTTTTCTGCTTATCAGATGGACTAGAGTAGCGAGAAGTCTGGAGTGCTCAAAATAATTTGCAAGTGCCAAACCACAATTGGCTAAAATTTAACAATAACAAACAGAGCCTCGCACTATATATATTTTGTGCCATTCCATTTGCGCATCACAAAAACGTTCAACATACGTTAGATTTCGTGTATATATAATATCGATAATTACGGTAAATCTAATTTATATATTTTTTTTAAACATTATTTACCTACCCACTTCGTCAATTTCAAATTCAGTATTTATTGAGTGTATAAAATAATTTATTATTTTGTGAGTAAGTATAAATTAAAATGGGTGTATAAATTACGAAACAAATAATGTTTGACCCCTAGAGCGAGTATAAATAAGGTAAGCCAGAAATACATAGCAATGTCGTGGCGTATCGCGTGGTTCAGTACACTCCGATTTCATAGATTTGACAAAACGCGATAAGACATGCCACGCAAGTGTGTTTCTAATAAAAATCTTGTATAGACAAGAATTGTGTGTAGGTATATAATATCTTTGGTTTCTAACCATAGTCTGTAGGGCACTACAAACTATGCTTTAACTTTCGGCGCGATGCGATACGGCACGAAAAAGACACAAAATGACACGCTATTTTAATAAATTACGATGTTCTTGTTAAAAAAAAACTTTTTTATTTTTGAAGTCTATAATAACTGTTATCTAAAATTGGTTACGATATTGCATATAAAATCTTTACCTTGACAAATATTCATTTATCATTCAAACCAAATGATCTTGTTTATTTGTTATGTTTTTATATCATAATTATGAACTGAATTGAAGGAAATAATAAATAAAATACTGGGGTTAGGTAAAACCTTTCTGACAGATTGTAACACCGTTTTTATTTTTTCTCCCCTATTATGTGTAAGACGAAAAGACCAGTTTCTATAACTTGAATAAAAAAAAACTCACGCAAAAGCTGACGCTGACAATTCATTGTACTGTTATAGTGACAGTGTGAGTTGACTTGTGTCTGGTGTTGTGTATAGTAGTTGACGAACTTTAATATTTTGTGAAAATGTTTTATCCTAATAGAGGACTTTTACTGCGGCTTATTTTGGCAGGCACAGTAATTGTTGCATTGGGCCATAGTCATAGCCACTCGCATGATCATTCTCATGATGAACCACCCGCATTCAAATACTCCAAAAGTGCAAACGAACAATACAAAACTGAAAAAGAGATAACTGAACCAGATTACGACTTGTATATCAGAGCATTGAGTTCAACACTCTTTATAAGTATAGTGCCGTTTTTTATACTGTTTTTCATACCTATTGACGGGACAGTAGAAAAACAACCGTTACTCAAGATTTTACTATCTTTCGCTTCCGGCGGTCTTCTCGGTGATGCGTTTCTACATTTAATACCACATGCACTAATGTCTAGTGGTGGTGCAGAAGGACACAGCCATAGTCATTCACACGAAAGTGGAGAACACGAACCCCATGATGTTACTGTTGGGCTTGGAGTTTTAGGAGGTATTATCACTTTCTTAGTGGTAGAGAAAACTGTTCGACTCTTTGATGGAGGACATGGCCATTCTCATGGAGCAGAGAAGAAGAAATCAGATGACAAACAAAAAAAGAAGACAAAGGATAAAAAAGAAGATATCAAAATTGCAGGTTATTTAAACCTTGCTGCTGATTTCACACACAACTTCACTGATGGACTGGCAATCGGAGCTTCCTATATTGCAGGGCAGAACATAGGTTTAATTACCACTGTGACTATATTTTTACATGAAATCCCACATGAAATCGGAGACTTCGCAATTCTTGTTCAATCTGGTTGTTCAAGAAGGAAAGCTATGATGTTGCAATTGCTCACGGCATTTGGTGCAGTGTCTGGCACAGTTTTATCTATATATCTAAGAGGTTCGGGTGACAGTGTAGTATCATCTCTTATTTTGCCATTCACAGCTGGTGGTTTCATTTATATTGCCACTGTTTCTGTGATCCCTGAACTATTAGAAGGTTCTAACAAATTCTCTCAGTCTATCAAAGAAATAGTAGCTTTATTAGCTGGAGTGTACATGATGGTGCTTATCGCACAATATGAATAAATAAGTATATACTAATTTAGTAAATAATGACTACGTTCTACTTACTACCAATAAATCAGTAAACATCACATATTTTTTTAGTATCCCATATTTCTTTGTAGTAATTATTGTAAATTACCTATGTACAGTTGTGATGTTAAAAAATATTGTCTCACTGTTATGGATTTTGGTATAAGTAACTATTGTGATGCTATGAATTTTTGTATTGGCTGATACTATTAATACTTAGCCAGTTCTTATTGTTATAAAGAAAAATATAGTGATTCTGTCTGATAGTGACTTAATAAAGTGAGATCAAATGGAGTATCAAATAAAACTTTTGAATTGCAGAAATTATGTTTTTATTACTTTTAGATTACTTCTTCTTAGATACACCAACAGTTCTTCCTCTCCTGCCAGTAGTCTTGGTGTGCTGACCACGCACACGCAGACCCCAATAGTGACGCATACCTCTGTGGGCACGGATCTTCTTCAACCTTTCCAAGTCCTCACGGAGCTTAGAATCCAAGTATGAAGATGTCAACTGGCTGTATTTACCATCAACAATATCCTTCTGCCTGTTGAGGAACCAGTCAGGGATTTTGTATTGCCTGGGGTTGGACATGATAGTAACTATCTTTTCCACCTGAAAAATATTACTATTAGTACCATGGTATATTCACAATGTAAACTGTTACACAACTGGCTGGCTTGACATACTAAATAGCCTTTTCTACCACCTATCACTAAACGTCTCTAGAAGCATTAGCATATTGTAATAAATAATTGGTAAAAATTTATACTTAGTTTTAGGCATTTAATAAGTAACAGTTATGAAACTAGCCTTTGTCTAATAAGTAAACTGAAGAAAACATTAATAACAAGAATAAACTGGTAGATTAACGACATGTCCATTATGAGATGTGGATATGTACTGCTAACTAGGCATGTATCTATCTATATAATGTTAATAATGTATACCAAACTATAATGACAATCGTAACTTAGTACTTAAAATATTAAAAAATTGAAATGCAAATGCAAAATACAACAAAAAACGTACCTCTTCTTCAGTACATTCTCCAGCACGTTTGTCAAGATCAATATCGGCTTTCTTCAATACGATGTTGGAGTATCTACGGCCAACACCCTTGATAGCAGTCATAGCAAACATAACTTTGCGTTTGCCATCAATGTTCGTATTCATAATACGAAGAATATGTTGGAACTTGTCTGGAATTACCAGCGACTGAAATAAAATGCACTATATTTAAAATACGCCGATTATAGCAAAATACAACGAAAAATCACACTACGTGTATTTCAAAATCACAATAGAGCACTTAATTACATTTTTCAACCCATGATTAGTTTAAAATTTAAAGATTATTACCATTTTCACAAATTTTGGTTAGCAAGTCCACCACTAACAACAAAGGTACATGGGGTAAAAGAATGACATTGACAGAACTTCATGCTATTTTACAAGACCAGAGTTGCCATTATAAAATGAATGAATACTCGGTAGCTATTATTCAAACCGTTATGCGTTAAAATTCTATTATATTGTGTAGTTGGTGATAAATTGTTATAAAAAACATTAATTCATTTATTATAAAGTAAATTTTATCTTTCTAATGCTCCATGCCTAACATGATAAAATAGTTTCACTTAATTAACTTTAGAACGAAGGTGAGAAATGGGTGGTGAATTCAGGTGTAATAAATCTTTACACCATTAACCCATCTTTACTCCCTGACAATCTAGAGTTTTTTTCTCTCAAGTTGTTTCTTATTTCGTCATACAAACCTACAATCACCTTTTTATGAGTGATTGTGATTCGTGACTGTTAATGATAACGACAGCAAAAGGTTATCATTTGTAAACATCATTTTGGGTCCCAAACGTGATAATAAATCAATGGAATATGATATATCGTCGATTAAATTTAAGAATAATGGTTAGAAGTTTATGAGATCTAGTATTTTAAGTAAAACTACAAAACTACCTATAAGGGACAACATTGACTGTATTGAAATGTTTTTTTCAACTAGTAACATTTTATCAATGAGTGTTCTTCCGTCGGTGGTGTGCCGGTTTCTAATTTTTACAATTTCCAGTTTTATTATCTAAAGTTTTGAAGAAACAGTGTGAACAATGCATACAGAAACGACATTAACACTTATACAGATATTAGAAAAGACTGTGTCACCAGGTAAGAAATCAAATTTTGACTTTTTATGTTCATGTATGGCGCTTCAGGTCGTCAACCGACTTATCATCTAACGTAACTGTTTTAAAAATGTGTTTGATTGAGACAGTGTTTGCAAAGAATTCAAGTCAAGGAACGGTGTGTATTTAGGTTCTTCATACATCTAAATAGCCGTTGACGACAGAATGAGGATGACAAAGATGCCTAGCTGTCATGTAAGGAAAATTCTAGGTTCACCTACAATTCAAGTTTTACAATACGCGGCAATGGTGTTCATAAACAATTTGACACTTTGACACGCATCTTGAATATTTTTACTCATCTCTGTTGGATTTCTTGGCGCCTGGTTCTGATTTCATGAAGGTTTGAAGGTTATAATTTTTAATCCTTCACACTTGACATTCCATTCATATTAGTAATCAGTTTTAATAATATCAATTTTTTGATAAAATTCTAAATACAACCCAATATGTAGCATATTGTTACCTTACAGCTGATCATCCATCTAAATCCTACCTCTTAATTTTCTATATAAAGAATTATTCAACCATTACTCAAAATTCAGCATCAACCTAAAACAATTATAATAATACAATATGATTAAAATATGATGTTAAGTATTAAATAGTGAATTCATACTAGAAAGTAAGAAGTTAAAGCCAAATAACTTAGGTAATTATAATTAACAAATAAATTCCTCAAATGTTTTATTTCTGTTTTACAGATCGAAATGAATTGGAAGCTGCAGAAACCTACCTTGACCATGCAGCGGTTACTAATTTTACAACATTTATCAAAATGTTGTCGGATGTCCTGGTTGCGGGAGGCAACAGTCAGGTGGCTAGGATGGCTGCAGGTTTACAGCTAAAAAACCACCTAACCTCTAAAGATCCTACACTAAAGCAACAGTACCAACAAAGGTGGCTGGCTCTTCCTGAGGACATCAGATTATACATTAAGAAAAACGTATGTATCTGTATTGTTAAAAACTATGACTACATTGTAAGAGCAACAACTCAAAGTAATCATATTGTTCTAGATTCTAACAGCAATTGGAACTGAAAATAGTAGGCCTAGCTCAGCTGCTCAATGTGTGGCCTATGTAGCAGTGGCTGAACTCCCCGTAGGACAGTGGAATGATCTGATACCCATTCTTGTAGATAATGTTGTTAATGCTCAATCTACAGAACTTAAAAAAGAAGCAACATTAGAAGCAATTGGTAAGTTATTTAAAGGCACTAACTTATTTTATTTGTGTTGATAATTTATCATACTCTACAACATATGTTACAATGGTACTTTTCAACACCATCAAAATGTTGGCTTACAGGTTACATCTGTCAAGAAATTGATGCAGAAGTCTTAACAGAACAAAGCAACCCCATTTTAACTGCTATCATTCATGGAATGAGATCTATTGAAACCAGCAACCATGTCCGTCTTGCTGCCACTCAAGCTTTACTGAACTCCTTAGAATTTACTAAAGCCAACTTTGATAATGAAAATGAAAGGAATTTCATCATGGAAGTTGTATGTGAAGCTACTCAGTCCAGTGACATGAGAATAAGTGTTGCAGCTCTCCAGTGCTTAGTAAGTAATACAATACTTATCTCAGTAGCCCTATTTTTATGTTCCTATAAATAATTTTGAAAGTACAGTACATATAATCTTGAGTTAGTGTTGACTTACTTATTTTTTTTTTAGGTTAAGATTCTCTCATTGTACTACCAATACATGGAACCATATATGGGTCAAGCACTATTTCCAATCACTTTAGAGGCTATGAAATCTGATGTTGATGAAATTTCACTTCAAGGCATTGAATTTTGGTCTAATGTTAGTGATGAAGAAATTGATCTTGCTATAGAAGAAGTAGAGGCAGCTGAAGCAGGCAAGTCGCAAAGTTGAAACCGTTTAAACAATGATTTGTATTAAATACCCTGTTAGACTGTCATAACATTAATTGCCCTGTTGTATTTCCACAGGACGACCTCCAGCACGTACTTCAAGATTTTACGCCCGAGGTGCCTTGCAATACCTTGCACCTGTCCTTATGCAAAAATTAACGAAACAAGATGATACAGAAGATGAACTAGAATGGAATCCCTCCAAAGCTGCTTCTGTTTGTCTCATGCTTTTATCAAACTGCTGTGAAGATGAAGTTGTTCCCCATGTACTACCTTTTATTAATTCCAATATCAAAAATGAAAATTGGCGGTATAGAGAAGCTGCCTTGATGGCATTTGGTTCTATACTTGGTGGACTTGAAGCGAATACTCTGAAGCCATTAGTTGAAAAGGCTATGCCAACCCTGATTGAAGCCATGTATGATTCTAGTGTTGCTGTGCGAGACACAGCTGCCTGGACATTTGGGAGAATTTGTGAAATAGTACCAGAAGCTGCAATTAATGAAACCTATTTGAAACCACTTTTGGAAAGTCTTGTCAATGGACTTAAAGCAGAGCCACGTGTAGCTGCTAATGTATGCTGGGCTTTTACAGGGCTGGCAGAAGCTGCTTATGAAGCAGCTGATTGTGGAGATTCCAATCAACCTAAAACCTACTGTATGTCAAAATACTTTGATTTTATTGTTCAGAGGCTTCTTGAAACTACTGATCGCCAAGATGCAGCACAACATAATTTAAGATCAGCTGCATATGAGGCCCTTATGGAAATGGTTAAGAATTCTCCTACTGACTGTTATGTAACAGTGCAGAAAACGACTATGGTTATTTTGGAAAGACTTCAACAAGTATTGCAAATGGAGAATCACATTTCCAGTCAGGCTGATCGTTCACAATTTAATGATCTACAAAGTCTGCTGTGTGCTACATTGCAGTCTGTACTCCGTAAGGTAACTCCAGAAGATGCTCCACAAATATCAGATGCCATAATGACTGCCTTATTAACCATGTTTGCTGGGAATGCGGGAAAAGCTGGTGGAGTTCAAGAAGATGCTTTGATGGCAGTCTCAACACTAGTTGAAGTGTTAGGAGAAGGCTTCCTTAAATACATGGATGCTTTCAAGCGATACCTATATGTTGGACTTAAAAATCATCAAGAATATCAAGTTTGTATAGCAGCTGTTGGACTCACTGGAGATATTTGTCGCGCATTGAAAAGTAAAGTAAGTATGATTAGTCATTTTATAACTTTAAAGTAAAGCTCACAAAATTTAATCTCTTATAATTTTACAGGTGCTACCATACTGCGATGAGATTATAGTGTTGTTATTGGAAAATCTTGGAGATCCATCAATTCACCGATCTGTGAAACCACAGATTTTGTCTGTGTTTGGAGATATTGCCATAAGCATTGGTCCCGACTTTGCCAAGTACTTTGATGTGGTGATGCAGATGTTGTTGCAGGTACATAATAGATGTAATATCAGTAGTATATACTAGTGACTTACTGTCATAGCAAAGGAATGACTCAATGGTTGAGTATAACTATCTAAGTTTTAGATTGGGTTCCCAAAACAAGCACAGATTTTTAATTTTTTTCGCTTGATCAAATTGCAGCAAATATTCTAGCCCACCTGATTGTTGAAGCTTTCTGATTTTCATACCTGTATTAACCAAATAAGTGTTACCTTCTGATATGATTTACTTGTCATTTCATTTAAACTTATATTACCGTTTATATTACAGGCTAGCAATGCTCAAGTAGATCGTAATGATTACGATATGGTCGAATATTTAGGTCAGCTTCGCGAAAGTGTGCTGGAAGCCTATACTGGCATAATCCAAGGCTTGAAGGGTCCCACTGGCGAGGTATGTTATATTTTAATATTTTTAAATGAAACTCGGTAATATTTCAAGCATTTTTAGCTTGCTGTGTTAACTAATTTAAATCATAATCCTAAAATTAACAATGCCTTAAGATTGGTCCTCATATCATGAGCTGGTAAATGAAATTTGCTCTGACTTTAGGTGAGATCTGATGTGGCACTTGTGGAACCACACGTGCCGGCCATTGTAACATTCATGATGCAAGTGGCTTGTGAACCCGAGCGCACGGAGGGGCACATGTCGGTGATCGCAGGACTGACTGGGGACCTGTGCATGGTATTCGGACAGCGTGTTCTACCACTCCTGGAGACTCGGCCCCTATTGGATTTGCTGCAGGCGGCTCGACGATCTCGTACTCCTCGCACTAAGGCACTTGCAAACTGGGCGACGAAGGAAATGCGCAAGGTCAAGCACCAAACGCCTCTCACTAGCTGGTACGTAAACTTTTTTGTTCTTATCTAAACCATAAATAAAATCATGTTTTTATTTTAAATTAAGTTTGTCGGTGATCGTATTCGCGTATAATCATCATCTACGAATAAGAAAATAAAAAAGTCAGTCTTTGGTGAGACTTGTAATAATATCAAATATTTTTTTTTTTTCAGATTTGAACCTCTTCTAAAACATCTACGTGAATCAACGCAGCTTGAGATAATTTGCCGCTGGTAAACTCGACTGTGTTGGCAGGCATATTATGTCCATATTAATAAGTCGTTAGGTGCATTTGTTAGAGGCCTGTATTATGTTAATCTATTGCCAACATTTTATAAAGTAGTTATCTCGTGTTCATAGGCTTGTATAGCCTTTATAAGTAATTAATATTCAAGTATGTATTGTACATCTATTATATTACATAATAAATGAATATTTGTCTACTTTAGTAACATGTTACCATTACTGTAGCATAGTAACATCCATTGCTTTATTTTAATTTAATGAGCATTGTACCATGACAAGGCAGTCTTTATTGTATCAGTAACAGTCAAAAATGGATGAATGTTTATAAGCTAGTGAAATGTTATTATGTTAAATGTTTTGCATATAAGAAAAATGCTAATATCACGTTTTTTTTTGCTTTTTCTTAAAATCACGTAGTGATTTTTGGCCCCGAACAATGCACTTAGCGTAGCATTATTAAAACTTTAATCTATGTGCCTGACCATAATTTTCCATAATTATTATCTTAAAGTTGAAGCATTTTTCCTATTTGGTATTATAAATACAGACAGTGGCTGTGGTATCTTTACTTATGTGAGATAAAGTGATAGTTTGAAAGGGACGTGTGAAAGGTGACGTATGTTATTTTAGGCATGCACATGTGCAAGGGATTATGAATTTTATAAATTATTATTATGTTTTGTAAGATGAATGAAAGATTTTATGGATGGATAGGAATGCATGTGTAGATGCGTGCATGATTATCTCAGATATTTTATAAACTTAGGCATTGTCGATCATAATGGAAATTCGGTATATTAATGTATGTTTAAGATTCCGTCGACATTACTAGAGACTGAAGGACGCCATATTGGCGACGATTCTTTTTTATTCATCGCAATTCAAGTAAAATGAAAATATTTCTTACTACGGTATTTGGTAAACGTTGCATCAATAAACTTACGGGCGCCTTATAAAATTTTCAAGAAAAATAACTACTCAGAAAGTCGCCAGCTTAAATAATCAGCTAATAATATAATAAAAGTAGCTGCAATTCTGAACATCTCGCATACTATTTATCTTTATTTAAGCCTACTGTCTATTTAACATTAATTATTGGCATAACGTAATGTAATGATAATCTTTACAAATGATATAGTGTCAAATGGTTTTTATAAGCGCTTAGGCAGATTTAAGACACGTAAGCGACATAAAATACTGGCGTCACCGGCAAGTGATGTAAACGGTTGCTTTCAAAACATGCAAATGTCAAAACCACAAAATATATTGTAAGAAACTAATTGTGTGTCTCAAAAATCTGTTTTAAATCTTCCTTTGTGATGAATAAAAAGTGTCCTTGCCTTCTGATCTCAATATCACATTATTGTACATATGTAATTAAAACTTTTTTTCTTATTATTTGTTTAAAATGGCAAGACCTTAAAGACTATTTGTTGAAATAACACCTATGGGCTGATGATAGATATTGCCATACAATTGATGCTTTTCGTTGATTGACCAAGATGTTCACAATTATCAAATTTCAAAGGGGTATCTTCAGTAAATAATTCTTTTAGTATAAACGTGATGATCTTAAATGCATTCAATTTAACTTAGAACGCAGAATGTTTCGTTTATTTTTTTTATTAAAAACTTGAAATCTTACATAAAATTTTCGGCTATCATATTCGGCAACCAGCGGGTTTGTTGCCCGTTATCGTGACCTTATCATATCATGAACACTATGAGGCCGCCGGTATCGTTTCGACTGGCTCAAAGCTTGACTCAGTTTGAATTATTATGTTGAAATACATGACATGATATTAGTTTTACCTTCTCTGGTGCGCGCAATCACTTGTGTTTATACAAATTTTGTTTTGCCTCACTTTGTCGATCAAACTTGCTTTTAGATAAATGTACGAAAACTTAATCTAACTCGCCGTTATCTGTGTTCAGTCCAGTTTCAGAACTCGTGACTAATATTTTAACCAATTCGTTCCGTTTTTACGGATAGAATGTTTTTATACTCTCAGGTTTTAGACTTAGGTGTGATAACTTAAGTATGAAAATACCCTTAATGTTATTTAATTTCAATTGACTTGTTGAGTGTCTGCTAGTCTGTGAGCATCACTGATAGGAATGATGTTTGCGCGAATTATGCAAGAATTTACTAAGTGAAGTGTTTTATTATTACCGGTTACTTGTTTTTCTTTATACACAATATATATTTAAATAAAATACCATTTGGATATAAAAATATTCAGAAAATATATTTCAAATGTCATACAAGTTACGTATGTACTTATATTTAAGTATGATAGGAGAATATGTGAGGACTAGTGCCATGCCATGAAAGGTTCTGAATTAGAATCATAGGCATCGAGTCAATGAATACCACCCACTTTTCCTGCGCGAATCTAAAATCAATTAGTTATTTTGTTACGGCGTATATTTTCATTCGTTTTGACTTGACTATCTGCTACCCTGTAAACTGTTCTATGGTGATTAAACAATTTAGAAGTTAAATGGTGTACTTATTTACCTGTGATCTTAAACTTTTTCATTTTAGTTTATTACGAGCGACCCGCTGCGGCTTCGCACGGGTGCAATGCTGACACTAAACTTCTCCACTATTATATTTTGGATTTTAATATTATTCTTTTAAGTACGTTCGTGCATGTAGCGTGAACCACCTGTTAAAGGATAGGATAACTAAGGATAAAATAACTAAAGGGAAAGATAATAAATAATACTGTGAGTCTATACTCACAGTATTATTTATCTTGCTGCCAAAGTGCACGCATTCATAGCGTATTTTATGTATAAGTTTGGTGCTTTCATACTGATTTCTATCATTATTTTTTATTGAATTTGTATCAATGTAAACTTTTTTAATAAGGGATGAGTGAGAGTATTATTATAAACGTAAGAGTAAACAAATATAATCAGTATGCTCCGAATTGCTAAGCTATCACGTGCAAGGTACCTATAAGTGTTATTATGAGTCAACCATAAAATATATACAGGGTGTAAAAAGACACTTAACGAAGCCGTTAACTACGCATACTGCAGTTCTAACTAAGTAGCTTTACGCTAAAATTATCACTGGGAAACCACTTTTATTTTTAGGTATCAAAAAAATAATAATGTTATTGCGCGCAATGTAAAGCAAACGGGCTTCGTGTCATTGTGTGCGTAGGTTCACAGCTTAGGATTAAAACGCTGTGATAAGTACGTAGGTCGACGTTTTACTTCGCAACAACAAAACAATTCTGTAAAATAAAAATCCTACTGAGATGCACGATGTTTTTAAGAAAATAGAAAATTCAGCTAATGTTTGTTTGGAAAAAAGTTTTGTAATAATACTTAGAATTAGATTGCGCAAAAAAAATTAAAAATGCATCTTTGACCTTCAATATCTTGAGAACCCGTGGAGTCCCAGCTATGGTCATAAAGAAAAAATTATCCAAATAATGTTTAGAATACGTGGCTTTCGGCTTCGTTAAGTGTCTTTTTACACCCTGTATATACATAGGTTGTAAATATTTTTTAGATAATTTTATGTTGAACTTTCCCGTGATACATGATTTTTATTCCAAAAATCTTTCACTGATATATAGCTACAATGTTCCTGAGTGCTATAGGCTATAAAACATCACGCTACGATTTCCGTGATATGACCTTTTTTAATTAATTTAAAGTTATATAAGTACTTACTTAATTATCTAACGAATCTTCGTTTAATTGAACGCTATCTAAAATGTTTTGATGCAATCTTGTAAAAAATTAGTTGCTTAGATTACAGTCGATGACGACAACAAATAACAGCCCTCCCTTAAAAATAAATAAGTCCTTACTTACATCAGTGGAAAATGGTTGTTCATCTTATTAGGTATATACCTAACCAGCGGCTACACTTTTTCAAGTTTTTTTTTACTTTACACACATACAAACCTTTTCTGGACTTCTACAAATACTTAATTCAAGGCTAAAATTAGCCAAATCGGTAACGGCATTGTTGATTTATAACATTACAACGAAAAGTGGCATTGATTTTTAATATAAAGGTACATATAGAACATAGATTATGTAAGTATTCTAAATAATTAATAAAGCTTGCATGCTTCCCTTATTCATACGAGAAACTAGGCAAGATGAGATGTCACGTCTAGGTATGTAGGTAGGTCTTTCCTAGGTAGGTCTTCGCCCTACGCCCTACCTAGGAAACGAACCTAAACTCTCTCGCTAGGTAGTTGTATTCTTTCCACGATCGATATTGACCAGAGTTCACACAATTATCATTTTAAAACTTCACGGACGGGCAGATTGGGTAAAAATTGGCGCCGTACATAGACGCCCATAACGCCAGAGCAGTTACAAATAATGGGAACGGGATTGGGCTTCGGTAACTTTACTCACAAAGCGCAAGCGTTGTTTGACGCTGGTTTTCTATGAGATCGTGATATAACTATTATCGAACCAGCCCATTGGCGTGTGGTTAAATAACTTAAAAGGCAAGTACCTAGATGGTACATAGCTAACTAAAATTTTGTTTTTAACGTGTTGTCATCGTTACACACACGGCGGGACCGAGTTCACAAATATTGAAAACTGACCTGGGGAAATAGTAGGTACCTACATCAAACAAAGAATTATTCAGTGTGAGAATCAAATCCGCGAAACGCTTTCGTAGTTGCTTTGGAGCTGTTTTTCCAGACGCCATTATTACCACTTATCCTTAGAATCTAAATTAGCTTCACAATTTTTCATATGATGATGTCCTTTTTTATATGCTACCTATTGATGATTATCAGCCTAAAAGTGTCCACTGCGCTGAGGAAAGGCCTTTTCTGACAGGGAGAAGGTATAAGCATTAGTCACCACGCTTGCTCAAGGCGGATTGGCGATTTTAAACTTATAATAAGGATTTGTATGTCCTTAGGGCCCACACGAAAAAGAGGGATAGTTATAAAAGGTGTATAGCTCTAATCCTCTTTCACGCCCGGAAGATTGACGCTTCGTGGCAGGCTCTCAGGTTTCCTCAAGAAGTTTTCCTTCACCTTATGTCTGCGGTGTCTTACTAATCCTAGAAAGTACATATAACTCAGAAAAAGTCACATTGGTACTGGCTAGGTTTTGAGCCCGCACTCTCACGCATGAGCTGCGCGCCTTAAGCTTCGGGTCACCACGACACAGGAATGAAAGAGGGGTGAGTAGATAGTGGGACTTTTTTAGACTTCTTTTTGGCTTTTTCTGTACATATTTTCCCTTATATACGATATGGAACCTGCCTTATACCTAAAATCCACGGCGTGGTCACAGGGAAAACGTAGCCCCGTAACTCACTCTAATCACCGGAATATTTCTTACCTACCGAATTTTATAACTCTTAGCATCGACTTAGTCATTTAGAACTAATCATCTCCAGACACATTATCATAATCACAGAAACAATCCTCAATATTTACAACGCATACAAACTAACATAGACGTACAATAGGTAGGTACTTTCGCAATCTTAGTGTTCTTAGTCACATCTCTGTCTACGTAGACAGGCGTGATGTCAGCGTAATCACGAAATACCTACATAATAAAAAATATGAATTTAAAATACTTATATTTTATTGTTTTACGTTACGTAACTTTAACTAAGTACCCTTTGATTTACACGCTGCTAGAGCTCACCAAAGTGCTGCTGAGTATATAATGTGACCGACTGAAGCAGATGTAACGCAGCGAGGGAGGAGAGGAACGTTATTTTAGAAACATCTGTGGTCGAGTTAGGTCGTGTCACAGGCCGATTCTAGTTGCCTCCATGTGCTAAGTTTGTTTTATTGTAGCTATATTGTTTCAATAGTTTTAATATCTTACTTAGCTTAGCTCCTTGATTCCTAACTTAGCTTAGGAATCCCTTCCATCCCATATAATTTTTGTACTTGTGAGAAATTTATAAACAATAACCATGAA